GTGGGCTGGGTCCTTGCCAGCGTCTCGGGAGGTGGGGACGGTGGACCCAGGGCAGGGACTGCGCGGAACCTGCCCGGCTGCGTTCGGGAACAAAGACCCCGACCAGGCTGGCACAGACCGCAAAGGCAGGCCGGGCGCGGCCGGCCCTGAGGGGAGCCGCGGGCAGCGGGGACCGCGCTCCGTCCTGCCCCTCCGCTCCCGCCCTCGCGCAGGCCGGGCCGCCGCGCAGATGCCTCGCACGCTTTTATCTGGGTTAAAGCGATCCTGGACCCGCAGCAGGAGGAGGAGCGGATGCTCCTGCACCTGCGCCGCGGGCGGCCCTGCGTTCGGGCCCCGGGAGGCGCCGGGGCGGGCGGCAGGGGTCCCTGCCAGCGGAGGAGCGGGTGGGTGCAGCGTCTGCGTGGACCGTGCCCCCCTCCGCCGCCGTCCCCGGGGGCTGCGCGGGCAGAGTGCGCCCTGTGGACGCTGGGGCGCTGCGTGGAGGGGACACTTGGCTGCCACAGGGGGAGTGCTGTGCCCCTCAGCAGGCCATCGCTGCGCCCTGTGCCCGCGCCACGTCCCCGTCCGGCCGCTGCGTTCCGGCGGTGCGCCGGCCGCCCTGACAGCTTCCCAGCCCGGCCGCGCGGCCTGAGCGAGACAGGCGGCGCTTGGCGCATGGCGAAGGCTGGCGCGCTCGCCTCACCCCACGAGCCCCCGGCCCCTCTCTGGAAGTGGGTGGGGGGCAGATTGGGGAGGCACAGCCGTGACTTCCCAGAGGACCCGGGGCCTCCCCAGAGCTCATGCACGGGTCCCCCAGCCCCACCCCCGCCCCATCAACGCCCCCAGCCGTCCTGCGGCAGCGGCTGGCGCAGAGCCCGCCAGGCTGGCTTCGCCTGAAGCACCTGCAGTCTCGGGGCACAGGGGGCTGCTGGGGGCTGCCGCGCCGCTGCCGTCCCGGCCCGCACGGTGGCTTGCAGGCTCCGGCCCTGCCCCGCCCCCCGGCCTCGGCCCTCACCTGCCCACACCCTCTGCCCCATGCCTGGCACCTACCGCGCCCCTCGGACCCCCCCCCCGCGGGGCCCCTTCTGTGCCGGGCCAGGCTGGGTGGGTGGTGACAGAGGGGTGGGAGGCAGGGCCTGGGGGGACGAGGGTGCCCGCTCCTCCTGGGGCTCCTGGGGCAGAGGAAAGTTGGGAGGCTGGGCCCTGCCCCCAGGGGCCCGGGCAGCTGGATGGCTGTGGCCGGGCCGGGGAGCAGGTGCTCACCCATCCTGCCCGCCACCCTCTCCGCACCCCTGCTTGCCTGTCCCTCGCTCAGTCCCTACCCACGTCTGCCTCTCTGGACTCAGACAGAGGCCTATGCTTCTAACCTGGCCGGGGCCACCATTAACTGGCCAGGCGTCCTCAGGCAAGAATGTCCTTTCTCCCGGACTCAGTTGTGCCTTCTGCACAATGGGCACGACGTCTTCAGCTCTGGAGAGGACGAGGTGGGAGCAGGGCGAGGCCTGGCCAGCCCTTCTCTCTGCGGTGCCTGTCTGTCCTCACTGCTCCTGTGCAGGGTGGCGGTGGCAGCCACCAGGGCCTGAGGGGTCCCATTCCCCAACTGAGCCTCTCCCCGTCCTCTCTCGCAGCCCCCCAGCGTCCACGCGGAGTATGAACATTGAGGATGGCGCGTGCCCGCGGCTCCCCGTGCCCCCTGCTGCCGCCCGGTAGGATGTCCTGGCCCCAGGGGGCGCTGCTCTTCCTGTGGCTCTTCTCCCCACCCCTGGGGGCCGGCGGGGGCGGCGTGGCCGTCACAGCAGCCGCAGGAGGGGGCTCCCCGCCGGCCACCTCCTGCCCCGCTGCCTGCTCCTGCAGCAACCAGGCCAGCCGGGTCATCTGCACGCGGAGAGAGCTGGCTGAGGTCCCCGCCAGCATCCCCGTCAACACGCGCTACCTGAACCTGCAGGAGAACGGCATCCAGGTGAGTGGGCGCGGCCGGCACGGCCAGGGGCAGCAGAGCGGGAGGCGGTGCTGGGCACACACGGGGCGGCCTGCCCGGGCCCCTTCACCGGGGCTGGCTTCACCTGGTCGCCCACCGGTGGCCAATACCCCGGGGCTCCAAACCCCAGTTTCTTGGTCTGGACGACGGGGACAGGGTGGAGGGCTGGGCGCCGGGCTTTGGCATGGGCCGGGGAGAGACAGGGATGGACTCTGCTGTGCGTGGTTTGCGGCGCCGTGCGTGTTCACCGGGGCCCGGGGAGTGGCGCAGGTGGGCAGAGCTGGCGCTCAGGTGCGGTCCCGTTGACCATGGGTGCGATGGGGCTGAGGCAGGAAGGGCTTGGAGGACCTGTGCAGAGCTGTGCTGGCCTACAGGGCTGGGGGGGTCTCAGACCCTCCCTCACTGCAAGGTGGGGTGCCCTGGGCCCCCGCAGCGTTCCACAGTGTCCCTGACCACTAGCAGCCCACAGCATCTGCCCCGGCTCCCAAAATCAGCTCGGTCCCTGCCAGGTCTCCTGACCCGGGTTAGGCGCGGGGCTGGAAAAGCGCTGGGGAAGTCCTTGTCCCCACAGAGGCCTTGCCGCGGCCTCCCTGACCTGCCGGGTCTCACCGGAGGGCCCAGCCCCTGAGCGGGCAGAAGGCACCCTTGTGGGGACAGTCCCTTTCCGGGAGGCCCAGTTTGAGAACTGGTGAACCTCAGGGGCGGTGCAGAAGCCTGAGGAAGCGTCCGGGCCACGCCCCCCCGCGACCCCCCTCCCTGTCCCTGCGTCTCCCGCTGTTGTCGCTGCATCACCAAGGACCTCAGGGTGAGCAGGCATCTGCACTGCCCACCTGCCCAGCCCCATCCCGCAGGTCCCTTCATTCATCCCAGGGGCTCCGTGCTGAGCCTGGGTCTGGATGAGCACAGTGTGTTGGGACAAACACAGAGGCAGAGAGGGAGGGAGGCCCGGGGCCGGGCTGGGGCACAGCCCTCCAGCAGAGCCTGCGCCCCTCTCTCCGGGGGCCCCGCAGACAGCGCAGTGCCACAGGCGCGGGATCAGCACCTCGGTGGACACAGTCATTACTAAGCCACACGCTGGCCAAGTGAGGAAACATCCACCCAATGAGCAAACAGGAGTGGAGCTCCCAGCACTAGCCCAGCACTCGGGAGGCTGAGGCAGGAGGATCACCGCAAGTTCGAGGCCAGCCTGAGCTACATAGTGAGTTCAAGGCCAGCCTGAACTGCATAGTGAGACCTTGTCTCAAAACAGGAAAAAAAAAAAAAAAAAAAAAAAAAAAAAAAATATATATAGAAAAAAAAAAAAAAAAAAGTAAAAGTAATACTTTCTAATTATCCAAATGCAAAAATGGAAGAAAGAAAACCTACACCAGTCCCACCACCTAGATATAAACAATGACTGCTTGCATACATTTTGTTTTAATGTGCTGGCTCTTCCCTGCACTTATGTAAATACATGTTTAATTATTTATTACAGAATGAATACAAATTAATTTAGAAAAACTAGAAACTACACCTAAGTACAAACACAGAGACAAAATCCAGCTATAGGTCCCCAGGCACGGGTGACCCAAGCACACCCACCCTGGACCCAGGTTGGCAGGGGCACTGTTCTTTTTAAGACAAAGTCTCGCTATGGAGCCCAGGCTGGCCTTGAACTTGCAGTGATCCTCCTGCCTCAGCCTCCCCAGTGCTGGGATCACAGGTACATGACACCACACCCAGCTTGTTTGCTTCTTTGCAAGGAAAGATGGAATCACCTTCTTTTATACTGTCCCAAACTGGTTTTTGGCACTTAATAGCATAACTGTGAACACCGTTCACCCCATAATCCCATAGTGGTCTCTGGTGTCTTCTGTATGATTGCATAGGACACCTGGGTATGGGCGTTCTATTGTTTAACTTGTTTATTCCTAAAGATAGGATACCTGTGCATAGGAATACTATGCAGCCATAAAAATGACACTGGAAAAGAATAATTAGTCCCTTTGCTGTTCTAAGGTGGTGTTGGATGTTGTTGTTGCTTGCTACTAGGGATTGAACCCAGGGCCTTCCCACTGAGCTACATACCCAGCCCCCCCTTTTTTTAAATTCTGAGACAAGGTGTCCCTAAACTGCTAAGTTATCCAGGCTGTGGTCAAATACTCCTGCCTCAGCTTTGCAGGGTGCTTGGATTTTAGGTGTTCACCACATCTGGCTGTTCAGATATTTTGTGGACAGGAGCAAGGGACAATCTATCTTCCCAGCACTCCAATTCTGTCCCTGGGGTGGATTCCTAGAAGCAGACTTGCTGGGTCAGGGGGAAGAAGGGAGAGGGGCTGCCCCAGGAGCCCTCTGTGTGGTACGTTCCTGAGTTACGCCCGCTACACTGCCCCAAACACCCGCAGGCATCCCTAAGCCCAGCACCCAAACATCCCTAGAGCCAGGCAGAATTCGGGAGCTCCAGAAGCTGCCCCTGTGGCTCGGTTACCTCGTCACTTGGTTCCCCACCCACCTCATGGGACAGGGACTTGAAACCATTCCCGGCCAAGCATGTCATCCCAGCACTCAGGAGGCTGAGGCAGGAGGATTGCTGTGAGTTCAAGGCCAGCCTGGGCTACATGGTGAGACCCTGGCTCAAAAAAAAAAAAAAAAACCAACACCAAAATGACAACTATTCCCAGCCATGTGCATAGCACACAGTAGGTGCTCAGTGATGCCATCAGGGAAAGGGAGGAGCTCAGAACCAGGCCGGCCTGGCAGAGTCCCAGAACCTGTGGGCGGGATCCCCTGTCCCCTGTGCCCACAGCGCCCTGCCTGGGCACGGTGTGGCAGCAAGGAGCCCGCGATGTGAGCCGGGCTCTCAGGGCGCCCTGTGATAGCACTGGCCTCCAACCGGGATGCTGGAGTCCATCCGAGGTAAATAAGCCCGAGAAACATGGCCATAACGCAGGGTCTCCAGTTAGGACGGAGCTGTGTGTCACTTTGGAGAAGAGGCACAGTTTTGGCACTCAAAGCCAGAGGGCTTCTTAAAAAAATCATCAGTGGGCCTGGCATAGTGCCTCACACCTGTCATCCCAGCAGTCTGGGAGGCTGAGGCAGGAGGATCGCCAGCTTGAGCCAAACCTGGGCAACTTAGTGACTTAATGAGACCCTGCCTCAAAATGAAACATAAAACAGGGCTGGGGGTGTGACTTAGTAGAAGGAGCCCACATTCAAGGCCCAGGGCCACCCGGGCCCCTCTTGCTTGGGAAACAGGTGGAGCCGCTATAATCCTGGAACTCTGCACGGGGCCTTTCGAGGCGAGGCGGCTGACCGCTCCTCCCGGCACCTGCGGGCTGGCAGGGCAGCCAGGTGGGCAGGGCGGTCCTCAGCCTCCTCCGGGGTCGGGAAGCTCCGCCCACAGCTCACGCCCTCCTCCCTGCCCCTGCCGCTGCCCCGCAGCCGCCCCGCTGCCTCTGCTTGCTTTGTGTGTGCGGATTTCAATTCGTGTTGGCGGAGTGGTGTGGATAGGGCTGTCTGCCTCGGCGTTCTGCGGCCTGCGTTCTGGGCTCCGCGTCCCTCCCCGCCCCGAAGGAACAACCCCGGCCTGGAACCACCGCCCACCTATGTGCACGCACTTAATTTAGCAAAGTGCCACGGCCCCCGAGGCTTTTAGCGGCCACGCGCGCTTCCTCGCTGGCCCCATGAGAGAGGTCGGGTGACAGGGAAGTGCGGCCCCAGCCTGCGAGGCAGGGCAGCGGCGCGGAGGACCCACAGGGCGGGGGCTGAGCGCGACTGTACCTGGAGATTGGGGTTGGGTGTTTCTAAGAATACTGGATGCCAGGCAGAGAGGCTCAGAATGCAAACTGAGCTTTCAAAGAGCACCAGCTGTTGTCCTCCATTTTTTTAAAAAAACTTAGTATTTTCTGAGAGAGTCTCATTATGTAGCCCAGGCTGGCCTCCAACTCAAGACGATCCTCCTGCCTCAGCCTCCCTAGTGATGGGAATACAGGCACATGCCACCATGTACGGCTTTAATAATAGTTTTTAAAAGACCAGGGGACACCCAAGAATGTTACCAGTGCCCTTCTCCTTGCCGTAGCATTACAGAGGATCTTTAACTTCTCCCCCCACCCCACCCCATCCCCTTCTTAGTACTGGGATTGAACCCAAAGCCTCATGCTGGTCTGCATTCTCAGCCCCCAGCCCCACTACTTTGTTTTTCTTTTTCTTTTTCTTTTTTTGACAAGGTCTCACTATATAGTTCAGGCTCCCCTTGAACTCACTGTGTAGCCCAGGCTGGCCTCAAACTCCTGCGGATCCTCCTGCCTCAGCCTTCCAAGCGCTGGGATCACAGGCATGCGCCACCACCATGCTCAGCCTGCTAATTTCTTTTTTATGTTTTCTTCTTCACGTTTTCGCCTGTGAGAGAGAACCTTTAATACTTTTTTGTAATCAGGAAATTAAACACATAGTAAGTACAAAAGAAGAGCCCCTTAGGATTTGTTCAAGGCCCCGGGAGGACAAAGAAGCCACACACGGTGGGCCGCTTGCCCTGAGCGGGGTTGGGATCCCTTCCCGTGCCTCTGGCTCCTCTGTTCCCACAAAGAGGGTCAGCGCTCTGGGTGACTTGTCCGAGGCCACCAGCCAGCTGGGTCCCCAGGGGTAGAGACTCAGGCCCAGCCGGCCACGGAGTGCAAGGCCCTGCGGGACCGGCCAGCACTTCCGGAAACGGCTTTGTGGTTTCCAGCCAGGCGCAGATCCCTCCGCCGCCCAGCTAGAGCCCTTTGAGGAACAAAAGTAGGAGGCTGACAGACGGCGGAGAATCGGCCTTGCGGGGATGAACTCGGCTCTTTGCAGCCCACGCCCAAGGCCCGGACTCCTGACTCGCTGTGGCCTCTGTCCTCGCATGCGGCTCGGCCTCTCGGCCTCCGCCATGAGCCCCGGGCACCCCGGTCACCTCTCTAAGCCCCAGTTTCCACCCTTGTCAAGCGAGACCCTGACACTTCGTCAGCTTCTCCTTA